AAATATACCGAAAATAACAAGTATACAAATTTCCCCTCCATCTCCCTCTAGGGGATGGTGGTGGTAAGATATTTATACAAAAATGTTGCAAATCATTTCTATTGTAAATATGCCAAAAATAAGATTTTTATGTATCTGTAACTATTTTTAAATGCCAGCCCCCACATCCGAACTATGAAGATTAAAGTCGAAATTTTTTCCAAGTTCAAAAAAAAATTTAGAAAATGTCTTTCAAAAAAAATTGTAAATCTGGGTTTATATGTATAAAAAATCGTAGATTTCAACTATTTTATTTAAAACGTACTAACTTGATTTTTTTGGGGATGCCATCCCCTCCATTTCCCTCTAGGGGATGTTGGTGGTAAGATTTTTATACAAAAATGTTGCAAATCTACCTACTTATCGGTATATGTATTTGAATTAAAAATACAATTTCTTTCAACACTTAATTATTGCTATTATTAATATTATATAATTTATTTTAAATTATATAATATTAAAATAAAAGGAAAAGAAAAACAAAAGCATATTTTCTATTTTATTAATTTCAAAACAGTTATAAATACACAAATTTTTAATTCTAATTTTAAAACAATAATTAATAGTTAACTAATTTATATCATAATATCATTAAGAATGGGACATAGTACAACTGAAGATTATCTGATTAAAAATTAAACTATTAAACAGGGCTGGTATATCTAAGGGGGGTCGCGACATAGGAGTCCATTTTGGACGCCATTTTTTTCGAAATAGTAGTCACATAGTAGTCGCCATTGATCTGGCAACGTGGCAACTTGTAGTCGCCAGGTTTACCAATATAGGAAAAAAAATCAATGTCATTTTTTAAATGACATTTCTATTATAAAATGCCCATATTTTTTAGGATAAAATATTTCAATTTAATAAATTATTGATCTCAGATGTACATAGAATACGTCGGGAAAAGTAGATCACTTTCAATTTTGTGCTGTTTTGGTTTTGTTTATTTTAAAAGGTAATTAAGACAATTTTCTTATAGATGATGCATAACAAATTATTGCTCCCTTTTTTAGAGCTCCAGTCCCTTAAGTCTATTTATTTTAGGTCTTTTTAAATTGTTGGTAGGTATTATTCACTTCATTTGTATGTTTTTAGTTAATTTAAATAATTTTGTGTAATATCTGGCGATTTGTTTTCTATACATTTTAGCATGTATTTGTTGTCTACATCTCACAAAGGATGGCTTTGAAATACCTTTACAACAGAGGTACTTTCCTAAAACTGGCCGAAATTTGAAACTGAATACAGAGAAAATCTCCAGTAAAAAATGTCTGCATGCAGAATAACAGTAGCATAGATTAACAAAGCTGACAAAAGAGTTGGACAAACCTTTGTCTAGCTTTTTTAATATTTCAGGACAATAGTGTTAACAGCAGACTACAATAAAAACATCCAAAGTTTAGTAATCAAGCAAAATATTCCGGTATCTCCAGAATTATAAACGTATGAAAACTATAATAGAAAACATGTATGGTTTCGAATAGAAAATTACCAAAATTAGCATATCTAGTGAATATTGTTTTTATAGAATATATTTTTATTCAAAACTTTTGTGCTTCTGCTCCAATACTAACCATATAGAAGCATATGCATTTTATAGTATTTGCAAGATTCGGATCAAATGTACCCACAATTTATAAAGATTATTAAACTAAAATAAAACATTTCAAATAACACCTGATTTTATGTTAAATATGTTTTTATTAAATACACAAATTAGTCTCAACCACACATTTTTTTTTTGTTTTTACTTCTAGTGTAAAAGTGACTACTAATTCAGTCTTTCAAGTTTATTATTTATAGAGACCAGCTACTACAAAATATCTTATTGATGATAACTAATTTCTCTTTAATAATGGTTTTGCATTTATTAACATTTTACAGCACTTTGTTTATATGAAACATCTATGTAACTCTTAATTAAATCACATTTAAATCAAGTAATTACATTTTCATATTCAACTTATGTATTCTTATTAGAAATTGGTCACTTTTTTTACTTTGAATCTTTTGACTGTGGTAACAGTCCATTCACCAAACCACAAAGTCACTTAAAAATGTTGAAAGAGAATGTCATAAAGGTAAAATTCCTTCTTCTATCGTGTTTTTCATGCAATTTTAGGTTGTAAACGTTTTGTCCAACACCTTTTTTACAATTTATCCCAAGCAACACTATGAAAGATTTAAATCCTGGATTTACAGCATTCAGTTTCGAGATGAGTGCAGTCACAATGTAGTTTAAGATATAATTTTCACATGAACACTTATTTACCACAGCACAAACGCATGTACCTATTCATGTAACATTAAAATAAAGTGGAAACAAATTGCATAATTTGGTATATAAAAAAGTACAAAATGTTTTTAGTTTTAATTCGACATTGGACTACGACTACGAGGAAAACAGTGGTTCATTCCACTTGTACCATATTGACATTATTATGCACGATGCTCGTTCAAACGAACATCCGAAAAGTGTTGCCAACTTAAGCTGACTACTATTTCCCCCCTAGCCTCAGTCACCCCCTCATCCATTTACTGGGTCTATGTCGCGACCCCCTTAGATATACCAGCCCTGACTATTAAACGAAATATGCTTAGAAAAAAAAACCCGTTTTCGAAATGCAGGGTGTTAAAGTTGAAAATTCAAAAATTATTAATGGCTATAATATTTTACTGAATTCGGTAAACATTTTCGACACTTTCCAAAAACTAATTTAAACTATAATTTAAATTTTTTTATATAAATCATGTAGGTACTCTTGTTGGGAACTCGTCCTTTATTAACAGTAAAATAATTCAATAAAACATATACACAACTCATTCACAATATCTACTACCAGTAAATGCACTAACGCACAATAACAAACATTAGATAGAAAATAGTCCAAACATTGAATCACGAGTGTATAAAATTTCATACAAGAGCTAAAAGTAGAAATCCATCGATCGGTCTCCGTCATTCTTAAAAATTTCTGCTGGACCCTCAACTCCGCCCACTGCAAACGAATATCGACTTATCCATATTCACTAGCGCCATCTATTGGTAGTATCCATTTCGCTCCAATGAAACTTCCATAAGGTGAGACTACTATTAGTTCTTTATACAATGATAATACATTTGTATACCTTCTTTAGCGATAATTTTAGTTCAGACATCCGTCGATAGATCGAAGAACCAGCGATTTGACTGGTCCCTAGCGCGAATAACACACATTTCACTCGAAATATAAGGTCTATTCCAACAACAATCCGAAACCAGTCACTGACACCAGGATTTTGCACAGTTGATTATTTCGACCGCCAAATCATATACTGCGCAGAATCCTGCTGTTAGTGACTGGTTTCTGATTGTTGTTGTAACAGACCTATAGTTTTAATCATTTAAGGCCACAATAGCACACTCCAATATTCGTAATACTAACTAATTTTGATAGATGCCATTTATATGTCATATTTAAGAATCCTTTTGTTCAACAGATGGAGCACTGTTTCATATTAAATAGTTCTGTTCAACAGATAGCATAATAATTATATTTATTATTTATCCGGTCCAGTTTGGATATCTAATCGACATGGCAAAACTGTTTAGTAAAAACGAAATAAATATTTTGCAATAGGTAAATAATAGTTTTTGGATCTTGGTTAGGGATATCGGTATATCGAGTAGGTACATTCATTATCTCAGTCGTTAGACGTTGTGTCCAGTCCAGGCTAGGGGATCTTTAATAGGGAAATGCTTACTTGTGTTATAGTAGTGTGCAACACTCATGGATGGCGCTACTTTACACAAAGTTTGTCCGTTGCGTTCGTCAAGCACTATCGAGCAGGTTCGGAGTGTGTTCGGAGCAGGCTCAGAGTAACGCAAGTGTACGCAAGTTGATATTCAACGCTTTCAACAGCCATTGCTTCATTAATTCTAATTGTTTTATTTGTTTACTGTTTTGAAAAAAGTTTTTAGGGCTTTATAAGCATATACAATTATTAGAATAAAGTTAGTCGCAGGTAAGGAATACATTTACAATTTTATTTTTATAAGTAAAAACTTCTGTTTGTATTTTATTCCTAAAAACATTGCCAAATATTTTAAGAGCATATATTAACACTAAAAAGTACCCAATTTGTAGAATAAATTTCCAAAAAAAAATACGGATAACCGAATATTTTCTAAGAAAAATTAAGAGTCTTTCTAACCTAAATTTTATCATTTTCTGTACAATTTTGGCAAGAGTTTTAGTTAGTAACTAAGTAGATAAAATATGTGAATATTAAGAAGATTCAAATACATAGTGTGTTACTGGTATTTTTTAGAATTATACAATATGTAATGGATACTTTTTAGTAGATACCTATATGTATACATTTTTTTTCCGAATTCTGATGTATAATGGAGCCATTAAACCATTTTTAATATTAGCATCGCTAATATTTTCCTAGTAGTCACTGGGAATGTTAGCCGAGTCCACAAATGTGTGGTTGGCTTCTTGAGTGATCTGTTAATTTGATTGCATCGCTAGATTCATTCTCTTTTGAACTTGGCTGCACCGTACTACGTACTACGGTTTGCCTTTAGGCTTTTTTAAAAAAAAATTGCGGTATCTGCCCGGTAATCCTTTTTTCTTGTATATATATTATAGTTTTTAATGTGTGAATGTTTGAAATACTGGGCTAGTTACGAATACCTAACATGCCTGCTGAGCTAACTATAATACGTTCCTAAAAACAGTAACACTAGCGTATTTGACAGAACTGACACGGAATATGTCATTAAAGTCTCTAAGAATGGCTATTTTCATGACAATTTTTATTTTACTAAATCACCAGATTACCTGGACACGGGTATTGTCGAAGACTAGAAATTGTATCAAATCTTGTACAATAAATTGTGTGTAATATTCCTTGGCTAATGATAGTTTATTTAAATTAGCTCGAAGCTTTCATTATCTACTTAATTTCAGATAGTGGGAGTGCTGCTGGCGGCGATGATACAAATTTTTGGTCAAATAGCCCATCAAGATCAGATTCTCCTTCACCTAGTATATTACAAAATACTATAGGAGGAACTTATCAAATATATGCACAAGTAGGATGTTCTTCAAATAGATATTCACCTTATAGAAACAGTGAGTTTTGTAGGTACCTACCTGTTGAAATAATTCTGTTTTTTAATACTAATCTGTTTTAATATGGATTAATGTAGGGATTTTATTTATTTCAGCATACCCGACTATAAATGCTGACTCGAATTTGCATACTCCAGGTCCATATGTAAGGGTAGTTAAAAGGAGAACGACAGCAAATAAAAAAGAAAGACGGCGAACACAATCCATAAATATGGCGTATGCAGACTTAAGAGATTGCATTCCTAACGTCCCTGCTGACACAAAACTATCAAAAGTAAGAAATTTTAGTTTTTAATAACACCAAATATATATAATATGTGTAAAAAAATGCCACTTAGATACACTATACTTTCAACAAAGTTGGAAAGAACAAAACGCGATGTAAGAGGACCCATGTTCGCCTGCAGCTGTGATAGTTCGCTCAGAGCTTCGTAGTTTCATGCAACGAAGATTGTTCGATAACTATGTGACATAACAAAGAAAATGCAAGTTTTTTTTGGCGAAATACATTTTTATTTTTCAATATAGTCGAAATTGGCAATGTTTATTGTAGGTCGATGAATCCAAGTCCTCGAAATAGCTAATTACAGCAGCGTTTACCTCGGAATTAGACAAAAATCTCTTACCGGTGAGCTATTTTTTTCAGGATTGGAAATAGATGATAATCGTTGAAAGCCAAATCAGGGAAATAGGGTGATTATTGCACTAATTAAAATCCTTATTCATGAATGTTGGTCATTGCAATCGCAGACTTGTGGGCAGGTGCGTTATGCAGCATAACTTATGCTGATGGAAAAACATTTCTTTCTTTACCAAATTGGCATAATACTTGGCTTTGTGTTCCCCATTTCGAAGTAGTCGACCAAGAAAATTCGTCGAGAATCCCAAAATCTGAAACAATTCAATTCTTGCCCTTGAAGCAATTGCGGCACACAATGCTTCAATACGCCGATTATATTTTAATTTCCAATTCCTTTGTTAAAATTATGTAGACAGTGTCATTTGAGGTATCCACTGTGTCGGCTATTGCGCGTACTTTTTCTCGACGCTCATGCAATACGATACGGTGTACTTTTTCAATCGTATTATGGGCAGTAGCAGTTTTTGTACGTCTACTACGGGTTCATCATGTGTACTCATTCAACTACGCTTAAATACGGCAACCCAGTTTTTAATTATTAAAAGCTCTGTTTGTTATTAATTCTTTCAAATGAAAGTAATTTATTACTGCCTTCAACTCATTTTTCTTCCATTTTTTACAAAATCTCATTTGGCCTACTGTTAAAAAAGTCTAATTGACAGATCGCTTTGTACTGTCATATTTAACCCAATAAAAGATGTTTTTACAGAATGGTAAAGAATATTTCTCCAAATTCGCGCTATCTTTGGTGTTAGGCCACGTAGTTACCGAACCATTCTCGTATACTACAAACAATCAAATACATCAGATTATATGTTATGAGGCAAAGGATAATTATGTATTTCACTCACAGTTGGAAGCGGACCGTTATAGGTATTTCTAACCTATTCAGCCTCACTCGATTGATCAGGGATCGTGTGTGAGGGGACAAGGTTGAAGGAATGATGGTAGGTATCCGAGAGGATGTTACTATATTGTTATAAGAAAACTCTGAAAATACCCATAGCAGGCTAGTCGACAGTGGAGCTCGAACTCACAATCTCCCGAATGCAAGGCAGACACGTTACCGCAGAGCCACCTCACTCAGTAAATTCTTTGTAATTTTCCTCGTTGTGTCATGAACAGATTCGGCTTAAATGTTTCTTGGGTATTGCGAATTAACAGAAAAAACTGCTATAGCTTTATAAAAAGCGAGCACGCGCTAAATATCACTTTGTGATGAACTCATTAGTGGGAAATCGTTCCTCCCAGCACGGTATTAATTTTATTTTATTAAGTTCAATAATGTACAATACGATTTGGGGTCTCAACCTAAATGTAGCGGTTGCAAGATTATTTTACGAGAATTTTTTTGAAATTAAAAAGATATTTTGATTTGTTCTTTTCATCATTATCTGGCAAACCTCCATCCTTTTAAAATGGTCGCCAAGAAAAATTTCTTGAGTGGACTATACCTTAAAACAGCAATACCCATTTCTTTTTAAAATATTTTGTACCCGTCTCTCCCTCAAGCCAAATTCAGCGACAATTTTTCTAATTGAAGCTAATGCACATACTTGCGTTTCCCTAATTTTCCGTTCTTCCGTCAATTGATTTCGACGTGGTTGCTTAGAGTTAGAGGGACAATAATTACCACATTGTTGGACACGGACCAAATTTAAATTAGGTGCGAAAGTTGCTACGACGGCTACGGCAGATGCAACGCTGCCCGAGTCGACATGCGAAAAGAGAGGGGTTAAGAGTGGGGAGCTAATATAAGCTGAAATTTGATAAATATACCAGAGACCACAATATATCCCCTATAGTAGTGCATCTCACTTGTTAAAGAGTTGGCACTAAGTTTGCAGCGCAAGAATGCTATGCGTCTGGCCGCTCAACTAACTTGATATGGCGGTAAATTCAAATATAATTTTAATGCGAAATTTAAATTTTCCGCCTAAATCGTAAATTTCCAGCAGCGGAATGGCGGGAATTTTTAAATATATTCATTCGGCAATAATTATTGAGAAGTATATTGCATGTTCGATTAAACGAGCTGTAAATCCAGGCGCTATTTTTATTTTGATAGCTAAAAATAATACTAATTTTTATTATTAGCTATTACAATAAGAGCAGCATTTGGATTAACAACACATTTAAAAGAACATGTAATATACTTTTCAATTTTACCTAAATCACTTATTTTGCATTGAAGTCTAAAGCAGCTTATTAGACCAATTCTGTGCTCTCCTATAAATTCCATATCGCCAAAGCCACAATCGAATGGCTCATGTTTATTTAGAGAAATAATGGATTGAATAAAATAGGGAATGTCTACAATTCTTCTGCAGATATTTTTTACATCAAAAAATGTCGATGGTTTGTTTTCTTTTTGAATCTCAACAAATGTCTTCTACACAGCTGCTTCTACTTGTCCAGGTTCAGAGCAACCTAAAATATTTACCAATTAAGTAAAATATCGAAAAGAGCTATGATACACTTACTGGTTATTATTTTGTCGAACAGGCATCTTTGTCCGAGCATATTTTAATTTATTGCATGGAAGATTCCTGTAAATAAAATATTATTATAATAAAAAAGAATAATTATTACAAGAACAAACAATTATTTAATTGGCAGCAAACATATTTAGAAATACTGTTTACGTTATTATTACCAAAATTTGGTAGATTTTCACATAAATAATTTGAATTACATATGTTTCGAATTACGAATTATTCTTCAGGTGTGACTAATTTCCTCTATTTACAAAAAACAACAAAGGCTACAGTAATTTAATAGATAATTAGTTTAAATTGTAATAATTACTTTTTACTAGGTACTGGGATTAACTCGCAGGATACTAAGAATCAAATCAATAATCCACCTGTAGTGAAACTCACCCTCTCTCCTTGAGTGTCGGTGAAGAGCATCTAAAAAGTGCTTGAATCGCGCTCATTTTAAAATAAAAACCCATATTAATTCTAATTCTTGAAATGTAAAGAAAATTAAAAAAACTCACCTATTCTCACCAGTGTAATATTTTTTTAAATGCGAAGCATGAAACATTCCGCGTTCTGTACCATCATTATATAATAAAATATAAGTATCATCATGTATTTGACGTTTTATGCGAAATGGGCCCTCGAATAGTAATAATAATTTTTTTGTTTCCGCCTTAAGTGCTGAAGAGGTATTATTTTCCTTAAGTAACACCAAGTCATTTTGTTTGAATTTTTCATATGGTTTACCCGGATGTGCCACGGCACGGCGTGCTGCCCTTGAGTGAAGGGATTCAGTTGCTAAAATCAACTTCTCCGCGTGACTTAACTGATTTTGTCCATCAGGAGGGCGTAACGTGTTTGGCAAAAGCTTAGGTTTCTGCGTTCCTAACTGCAACTCATTTGGGGTGAACCCCGTTGTTTCGTGTACTACCGAATTTAAAAACTGTTCAAACTCCTTTATCATACTAGCCCACTTGCTGTGTTGCTCATAGCAAAATGCACGCAGGATTCTTCCAATCTCTCGCATACATCGTTCGCTTGGGTTTGCCATGGGATGGCGTACCGAAATGTAAACTAGGGTAATGCCCAGTGCTTGAAAAGTATTATGCCACAATTTAGCTGTAAATTGTGTAGCATTATCATGAAGGATACGTTCAACAGGGCCATACGTCGGTAGATAATCCTTAATAATTCGGTTAAGGATAGCTGTGGTTGTAGCACGTTTTAATGGATATAATTTTAGATGTTTAGTGAAAACATTAAGAATTACGAGAAGATAGGTCACACCTTCACGACCCTTAATAAGTGGACCAAAACAGTCAATTGCAATTAAATCATTTTTGGAGTTAGGTACTATTTGTTTTTGTGGTGGTTTGGGTAAAGATGAAATTTTAGATTTCTGACATGTGTCACAGCATTTAATAATTTTTTTGATTCTCCTCTGCATATTATTAAAATATACTTCACTTTCCATACCTGCATGAGTTTTGTATACTCCAAAATGCCCCAAAGCTTTATGATATCCCTTTATACAATCATTGATTAGTTTATCTGGGATACATAGCAACACATCATTTTCATCATTACCATATTTATACAAAATATGATTATGTATGACAAATTTCCGAGATAATTGCTCATCTTCTGGTAAGTTCTGGATAATATCTTGATAGAAAGGGTCAGACATTTGATGTTCTTTAATATTTTTTAGATTGCTTTGAAAAATATTAGGGAGTTTCAAGGCTAAAAGCTGAAAACATTTATCCGAAGGTGTGGGAAGACGAATACAACTGTATCTAGAAAATGCATCAACCACGTAGTTATCTTCTCCTTTTAGATGAACAATTTTGAAAGAGAATTCTTGCAAAGCCAACGCCCATCGTGTTAGCCTGGGAGAAAGTAACCTGCAGCTATTTAGGTAGGTGAGGATCCTACTATCCATGTATAGAGTGAAAGTGTTTCCCAATAGATGTACCCTCCATCTTTGAATAGCCCACAAAGCTGCTAGGGCTTCTTTTTCGTATGAATGGTACCTACGTTCCCTATCAAGTAATAGACGACTCGCCCACGCTACTACTTTCTTTTTATTATCGACTACCTGGAATAGCTGCGCTGCGATGCCTATGTCACATGCGTCAGTAACTAAATGCC